TTCCTGTGGCATACAGATCTCACTGCTTCCCTTCTTGCCTGCCTGTGAGCACAATGTAATTGAACCTATCGTGTCTGGTTTCACAAGCAGAAGAATAATCTCTCAGTCTTTATGGATGGAGGGGAGGGGGAAGAGGAAGAGATATGCATAATTATCACATATGCTTCACATGCATTAATATGTACAAGCATATGCTCTGAAAATGTAAACCTTCATTAAAGCAAAAATTAAAGATGACAAACTTGTAATGTAAAATTTAAAATACAGGTGAAAGAGTAATTCACTAACCTGGCCATACTTAATTAGAAAATCAGGATGCTGTTGTGAGTTCTGCTAATTTTTCCAGTGCCACTTGGATGCTTTGCCCATAAAAAATCTTACAGTGTCAAAATCAATCACTGTGTTACAAAGACTCCTCATCTGTGATTGAAATAATTCTATTTCCCCTGGAGACACATACCTATGAAAAATTTAAGAGGTCATCAGTCATGGTGTCTCTTTCCAATGTTTATAAGGTTGCATCTTTGGATAAGAACATTTCCAGTGTTCTTGTCATGATAGAAAACAGAGCTGAGGTCTGGTATATTTACAGACAGGATCACTGTGCTTAGGTAGACTGCATCTCATCCCTAATTTTTTGAAGTTATATAAAATAACTGTTCTGGGGCTGTCCCTGTTATTTGTAGATCCCTGATAAAGGGATGAAAAGAGATCTCAATATATATGAGAATTAGGCTCTAGGTTTAAGCATATAGCATATAATTGTATAGCATAAGGCCATTGAAGAACAATGCCAGATAGATACATTCATTTCGTGTCAAGTGTTGTGAAATTGTGTATGCCCGAACAATTCAGATTTGCATTCTGCACAAAATCTTATATGGTCACATATAATTTACTATTTTCCCATAGCATATGAGCTGTTTGTTGATGGTATAAGAATCACCTGATAACTGTGTAGCAGCCAATGTGTCTTATCATTAAACTATTGGACGTTTTACTGGAAATCAAAACATCATCATAAAACTCAAATAAACATTTCACAAGCATCATCACACAGGACATATCATGTTAAACCCATTGAAAAAGCAATTCTCTGAGGTATGTTTCATAGTAATTGCTTCCCAAATAGTTTTCTATGACTGTTGATATTCTAGCCACAACAAGCGCCTTTAATCCAGTTCCTAAGCTCTATTAGGGAAATGTCTGGATAAGAACTCAAAAAATGCCTTTCTCTGTCACTTCCAAAGGAAAAATAGACTCCTATTTGGGTAACCTTGGGTTTAATGATCTCTTGATTTACGAACAAAAATTTTCATGCTAGTTGTTAGAAATCACATGGTCTAACTGTAACAGGAGGGTGAGATCTGTGCCCTGAGCATGGATAGAGCAGGGGTATTCAACATATGCACCTTGTACCCGCTGTCTCTCTCACGTACTTATTCGCAAGGTAACTCATAGATCTAAAGCCACCAAAACCTTTCAAAGACATTTTCTTTTTATGTCTGAGGCAGAGGCAGTTTTTGGCAAAATTGAGGATTTTTTTGTTTCTGCACAAAGGACATTTTACCATGCTCTAATGCATCCCTAGGGCAGGGACGGGGCAGCACAAAGGCAGGAGCTTCAGCTGCTTCCAGGTCAAGATGTAGCTCTTGGTCCCTTATTTGAGCCTTCTATGTCCTCTCCACATGAAAAAATGAACTCATAAAGTCTTCCTAGGAATCAGTTTTGCTCATTAGTCATGAAATCTGCTCAATTCCTGAAAAGTCCATAGTGTAATGTCCGGGTATTGCAGGTCAAAGAAAGATTAAGCAGTCAATTTATTTTAGAAACTGAGAAAGAGAAAAGTGAGCTTGACCTATTAGTCATTTTTTCACGCCCACCCAAACTATTAGACAAGTCTGAGATAAAGTACTTGAATTCATTAAAATTTCTGAAGAATAGAAAGGACCACTTTTTAATTTTCAATCTCTTGCTCTCTCAAAAATGAAAATCCTTGTAATTTCATAGGTTAAGCTATGATTACATCCCTTCTGATAAAATGCTGAATTACAGAACAGATAGGACCTTTCAGGTCAAATTTATCATACTTACAATGGACTCCTGGATGACAGAATCGACTTCAGAGGAAGCTGGGAGTTCTCAGGATTTCTGTAAAACCTGAGCCTCATTGACACTCGTAGGATTGGCAAGCCTAGTTTGACATATCTGACCTTTTGCTGCCTTGTCCATAAACAGAAACAGCATAATGAAAAAACACGAGAAAACAATTTTCCTTCAAGAGTCTTCGAAGTTCACACATCAAAGGGAATGTTACAAAACTACTGCATGAAAATCTGATGGTTTGGGTTCCCAGAGCTGCTAAACAATGTCATTTCTGCCAGCTTGTTGATAGGCAGAACGAGGAGCATTCACACTGCCAACGCTCGAGGTCTCAACAGAGGTGCCCACAGCAGGTGCTTGGGCTGCCTGAAGTCACTCAGCGGGCTCCTCCAAAACACTCTTTTTCTCAACCACCCTCTCGACCAGCCCGTGTTGACTTCAGAGAGACCCTCAGGTCACCGGGCCGCAATCTTTCTTAATTATGTGCAGAGTTTTATAGACAAAGTGTAGACATCCCGAAGAGTCGGGAAAGAGGCTTATGCCTGGCTGTGCTTTGGGGAATACTTTGGGGCCTGAGGAGCATTTTTAGTTAACGGGGAGGCCTGGGATTAATCATGCCTTTATTTAGCAAACAAGGTGCCGGGTCCCCCTTGGATCCACAGGTACATACCAACGAATGGTTCTTGGAGAGGAGGTTTACCATTGCCAGCAAGGCCACCTTAATGGTAGCATCCTGGAGCAAGCAGAGGGGTGGTATCAGGGAGCCAATTCCAGCTCCTGAGCAATCTCTTCTTGCTCAGAAGAAATACTATGAGCTCCTGCTAAACTCTGCACAGAGTGCCTGATTTAGGCTGTGGTACCATGCATGATGACAACACAGGTGCTGAGGGACCACGAAGGTTAACTGAGAAGCCTCGTGCACAGCCGACTTTGGAGAAATAGATTGGAACAACTGTGAAATGGAAGATAACCTAAACAGCTATCTGAGCCGAATGCCAGCAGCAACGCAAAGCTGTCATAGGGGAAGGATGAAGGCAGAGATGTGCTGCTGGAGAGACTGGCTCATTTCCAGTGAAGGCATTCCCCCCATCAGAGCGACCAGCCCAGCCGTGCCTGCTTGCTGCCCTGTGCTGGCAGTCCCTCTGCAAGCGCACACACCAGCCCTGGGGTGCCCGACCCCGCAAACGCTGCACCCACCGGGCGAGGCCCTCCTCGGCTTTGCGCATCCCTCGCTCCTGGTCCCACCACGCTCCCCGGCGGGCCGGGGCCGCCTCAGCAGCGGCACAGGGGGAGGCAGGGTAGCCCTGGGGAGGGGAGGGGGGGGGCCCCCCGCGGGGGGGGGGCGGC